GGTTCTCTGGTCAGGCTGGGTGAGGTTCTCACAGGCGGCCCTGACAGCGTGAGGGGTGATCTCAGAGAACCGTGCTCGGAACACCTGCAGGTTTGGCTTTACTGCACACACACACACAGAGAAAGCACAGGGACTCCATCACCAGCAGAAAGGAGCAGCTGATAAACACTTACAAAGAACACAAAACCATCTACCAAACAGCTACAAAGAACACAAAACCATTTTGGAGTCAGTTTAATTCCCTGGGTCTGCCTTGATGTATTTTAACCAGTGTTACGTCTTCAGGGGGTTTTAGCACTCTGAAGACAGGAATTTGAAACAATATTTTGGCTATTTTCTATAAAATTTGGAACTCATCACCCTGCTCTGAGTCATAGTGCTTAAGAGAGCGTGCTGTCAACTGATTCTACAGCATTCCAACAGCTGGTTGCTTTTCTGGTCCATCACATCCACATTTTTAGAATTAGCCAGCATTTAACCTGGACACAATAAAATTGAGAATTTGCCTCTGCTGAAGGAGTTGTTAAACCATTAATTTAATCAGAGTGATGGAGATGCTCTACACACCAGCTCTGCACACGTGGATGATCTCAAAGCCAATGTTCTCTCCTTCTCGGTCGCAGTCAGTCCAGATCACCAGGGCTTGGCACTGCTGGATTTCTCGTTCAAGGGTTCTCTGAGAGGAGAAAAACAACACAGGGAGAACATTCCAGGCCACTTGCTCTGTCATTTCATTTCAGAATGACTCACTGAACACCAAATGCAATGTGTATCCATGGAGATGGGTTGTTGCAATAACATTTTGTAATTGTGTGTCTCGGGAGATCAGGCAGCTTTTAAAAGAATTGAGTCATTTATTTACATCTAATTCTGTTAAAAAGTTTGGCTTGGAGCACGTTGTGCCACAATCTGTTTTCTAAAAATGTCTTTTTCTGTAGAACTGAGACACAATCATCAATTCCACCTTGTTGGAAAAAAACATTTCTATTTTTAGCTGTTCCTTCACTGCACTACTTGTACATGAACAAGAGTTTCAGTGCCACAAATGAACAGCATATACAGTCCTAGGAAATGTAGGAGGAATCTCCTAAACTGCAGAAATGTGGATGTTAAGGACAAAGGTAAGATCATCCTTCTGTCTGGGACAAGATTTGTTGAGCCAACCCCAGAGCTCAGTTTCAAAGTCTTAACCATGATGTACCTTGATATCCAGGTAATTTTCAGGGCAATACTTCTCAATTTCAGCGTCAAAAAGAGCTAAAGGGTTGCAGCTATGCCTGGAAAACAGAGGAGAAATGTGTGTGTGCATCACATAAACTAAAAGAACCTTTGTGAGACACTACCTGGTGCTCTCTGAGTACTGCAATTAGTGTATTTTTTTACAGGCCTTGTTTCAGACAACAGAAATGAAATGCTGAGTAACATTTAAAAGCAACAGAATGAAAAACCAGCCAGAGAAAACAGCAAATCTGGAAGTCAACAAGCAGCACCTCCTATCTGAAGCCCAGAGTACAAAAGGAGGTAAGACAAAGAAAGCACCTTGCTTCCCAGAACAGCTCCTAGCTGAACAAAGAACACAAAACCATCCCATTTTGGAGTCAGTTTAATTCCCTGTGCCTGCCTTGATGTATTTTAACCAGTATTATGTCTTCAGGGGGTTTTAGCACTCTGAAGACAGGAATTTGAAACAACATTTTGGCTATTTTCTATAAAATTTGGAACTCATCACCCTGCTCTGAGTCAGAGTCCCTCCCTGCCCCTTTGTCTTTGAGCTTGCAGTGTCAGGGATGAGAACAGGAGGTGACAGGTCTTTCCTGTGAGGGCCAGGAGGTGACAGAGCCCCTCCTGTGAGGGCCAGGAGGTGACAGGTCTTTCCTGTGAGGGCCAGGAGGTGACAGAGCCCTTCCCCTCCCTGCCAGGGCCACGAGGTACCAACCATTTGCGAAATGGCATGATAAAATCATGAGCCAGTAAATGTCCTGACACGGATGTCATCACCATGGTAACGTTCTGCAAGAGACACAGAGAGGAAATTAGTGCCCATCACTCATCAAAAACTACCCACAGCCCCAAAATCCCCCTTTGGTTCTCAGTTTAAATGATTAGTGACACCTTTCTTCTGTTAATCCCAGAATAGTTTGGGTTGGGAGGGACCTTAAAGCTCATCCAGTGTCACCCCCTGCCATGGCAGGGACACCTTCCACTGTCCCAGCCTGCTCCAAGCCCCATCCAACCTGGCCTGGAACACTTCCAGGGATGGAGCAACCATCATAACAAGCTCCATCCATGGCCTTATCCTCAATTTTTGTAGGAAGCTCCCAATTCGAAACAGCAACGTATTTTTGACTGACATAAAACCAGAAAGTTAAAAGATTTAGAGCAACAAAACAGGTGGTGGAGCAAAGGAAACAACATCTGACTTTTTCTCATCTTTAGGCAGAACATCCCTGTGTTTTTTAACTCCTGAGAAATGGCTTTTATTAATTAGTATTTGTACTTCATTAATCCAGCAGCAGATGGAGAGAAAACTCTTACCTGGCCAAACATCTGGTAATCATATTCATAGATTTTGTTGAACTTGGAAAACCCTTCTCGCTGGAAGGAAAAGGAGAATTCTTGAGTTTCTGGATTTTCACAGAACACAAATTCTTAATTTTTTAATTAAAATTTTTAACAGGAAACAAATCCATCCTGCCCCGCTTTGTCCACACTGGGATGGAAATCTCCTGTATCATTTATGGAGACAATGAAATGGTGATTCCCAAGGTAAGAGGATTTTGAACCATTCCTGAAGGTGGTGCCAGGGTTATCTCCCCATGAATAGTGAGGAACTGATTTATTTAATGGGGCTGGCCAGTTTTTAGAAACTCCTATCTTGTTCCAAGTGACAAGCAGTGTCCTCACCTAACTGGGACTCATGGAAGTTTCTAGATTGTGTATTTGCTGCTTTTTTTACAGAGGTAGGATGATGTATTGATTGGGACTGTCAGCACCCAGGTTCTCAATAACACCTTTTATTCAAATAAAGGAGGTTGGAGCCACTTTTCCCAGGTGACAAGGTGAGAGGGAACAACTTCAGGCTGTCCCAGGGAAGGTTTAGGCTGGACATCAGGAAGAATTTCTTCATGGAAAGGGTCACCAAGCATTGCAAGTGCCCAGGGAAGTGGTGGAGTCACCACCCCTGGAGGTGTTCAAGGAACAGCTGGATGTGGCACTCAGTACTCTGGTCTGGGTGCCAAGGTGGGGATCATGGGTTGGATTCAATAATTTCAGAGGTCTTTTTCAACCTCAGTGACTCCCTGATTCTGGTCTAGTAGCACCTTAGTTTGGAAATTCCTTAGTTTGGATACAGGAAGTGATTATGCAAACTGTTACCACAGCAGCAGAGAGTAGAAATAATTGAATTTTTGTTCTCCAAACCACAGCCTGTTTTTGCTTTATTTGGTGACCTCCAGTAAAGCCCTGACACTGCTGATGCTGCAGAAGTGCTGCTTTTAGACAGGGAACTGCATGCCAATGGATGGTGTCAGTTTCTGAAGCCCTTGTCAGGAGGGACCCAGGGAGCTCTCACCATGGGAAGGCAGAGGGAGCTGAATTCCCACTCTGCTTAACCCACAAGGACCTGAGACTCCCAAATACATTTGGGCAAGTGATGTTTGTCCACAGAACATTCTTGTACCCTCGTGTGTCCAGGGACAAAACCAGTACCAAGTGTGCCATGTGCTGATGTGAAACGGCCATGCCAAGCTCTGCTGAGAGTGCTGGAGCTGCCATACACAACACAAACCCGCCCCACCCGTGTTTCCGTGCCCCAGGGGGCAGCACGGTGTGGCCGGGCCGTTCCTACCCGCCGCATCCTCCTGTTGGAGAGCAGCTCGGCGATGCCCCGGGCAGCATCGTTCTTCTCGGCCACGCACAGCACCTTGCGGATCCTCTGCAGCGCCACCTCCTCCGCGGCCCGCGAGAAGCAGCGCCAGGGCTGGGGCAGCATGCTGGCCCTGCGGAGCAGCCGCACGGACACGTTCATCACAGGGGGTGAGGCCAGGGCATGCTGCTGCTGCTGCTGCTGCTGCTGCTGCTGCTGCTGCTGCTGCTGCGCGTCCCGGGCCGGTGCTGCTGGGATGGAGAGATGGCCGGGGTCACCGGGAGGCTCGGGGCAGCCCCTCGGGGATGGCGAAGGTGTCACCAAGGGCAGCCTCCCCTGCAGCCACAGCTGTCAGGGGTCCCGCAGCCCATCCCTTGGTCCTGTCTCTTATCCACGGTAGCGCAGTCCCCTCATCACCCCCGATCCCCCCTTGGGCTCTCCCTTACCGGGGGCAGCACAGTCCCCTCATCATCCTGATCCTCCTCGGGCTGTCCCTTACCCGGGGCAGCGCAGTCCCCTCATCATCCCTGCTCCCTCTCGGCTGTCCCTTACCCGGGCCAGCGCAGTCCCCTCATCACCCCCGATCCCCTCCTTGGGCTGTCCCTTACCCGGGGCAGCGCAGTCCCCTCGCCACCCTCGATTCCCCCTCGGGTTGTCCCTTTCCCTTCCCCTTCCCTTTCTCTTTCCTTCGCCCTTTTCTTCCCCGTTCCCCCCTCACCTCCTAGACCTCCCGCGCTCCGCTGTCGCTCTCCCTCACCGTCACGTCCTGCCGTAAAGCGCAGCCGCGGCGGCGCCACGGAACTACAACTCCCGAGATGCTCAGCGGCGCCCCTCCCGCAGCCGCTCCGCCTCGGTTTTCACCCTTTCCCGCCGCCGCTGGGCGCGTCTCACGGTCGGTAACGACAAAGGGCGAAGACGGTAAATATAAACAACTCCAGCTGAGGAAGAGGAGGAAGAGGAGGAAGAGGAGGCGGTGGCGTCGCTTCCTGCCGGCGGGGTCAGAGGCCGCGCGTCATGTGACTCCAAGATGGCTGCGGGTCCGTGAGGAGGCGGCGGCTCCGGCCATGGCGGCGGCGTGAGGGGGACACGGGGCTGCGGCAGCGGCGGGGCCGGGCCGGGGCTGCGCCGGCGCCTCCCGCGGGGCCCGGCGGTGGCGGGGGGACCGGGGGCGCGTCTCTCCTCCATGTCGGTCCCGTCCTGCGGGAAATATGATCAGCGCCCCTGACGTGGTGGCCTTCACCAGGGAGGAGGAGCTGGAGGATGATCTGTACCGCGAGCCGCCCCTGCCCGAGGAGTACTCGGTGCCGCTGTTCCCCTTCTCCGGCCAGGGTGCCAACCCCTGGGCCAAGGTCGCCGGCTCCAAGTTCACCCGGGACTTCATCCTCATCTCCGAGTTCTCGGAGCAAGTGGGGCCCCAGCCCCTCCTGACCATCCCCGATGACGCCAAAGTATCGGGCACCTTCGATCTCAATTATTTTTCCCTGCGGATCATGTCTGTGGATTACCAGGCATCCTTCGTGGGGCACCCTCCCGGCTCTGCCTACCCGAAGCTGAACTTTGTGGAGGATTCCAAGGTGGTGTTGGGGGACTCCAAGGAAGGGGCCTTTGCCTACGTGCACCACTTGACCCTGTATGACCTGGAAGCCAGGGGCTTTGTGAGGCCCTTCTGCATGGCCTACATTTCTGCTGACGAGCACAAAATCATGCAGCAGTTTCAGGAACTTTCCACCGAGTTCTCCAAAGCCTCCGAATGCCTGAAGACGGGGAACCGGAAAGCTTTTGCCAACGAGCTGGAAAAGAAACTGAAAGATCTTGACTACACCAGGACCGTCCTGCACAACGAGACTGAGCAGCAGAAGAAAGCCAACGACAAGGGGTACTACACAACCCAGGCCATTGAGAAGGCCAACGAGCTGGCCAGCGTGGAAAAGTCGATCATAGAGCACCAAGACCTGCTGAGACAAATCCGGTCGTATCCCTACAGGAAGCTGAAGGACTCTGAATTCCACGCCTACGAGCCAGAGTGTGCCCTGGACCGGGCGGATGCGGGCAGCCATGATCAGGACCCGACTGCCTCTGAGCCTGGTGAGACTCACCTTTACACCCACGTGCCATCCTACACCCCCAAACTCATCAAAGCCAAGTCTGCCAAGTGCTTTGACAAGAAGCTGAAGACGCTGGAGGAGCTCTGTGATGTTTATTTTTTCACCCAAACCCTTGACCAGTTGCACCATATCGAGAGGACTTTTCGAGGGGATGTTTGTTACCTCCTGACAGAGCAGATCAGCCGGGCTCTCCTCAAGCAGCAGAGCGTCACCAACTTCCTCTTTGAGGATGTGTCTTTCCTGGATGAAAAACCTCCTGAAAAACAGTACAGAGGCTGCCAGGGGCTCGGCCAAGATGCCATGGATGAAAAGTGTTTGGAAGAGTCCCTTGCTCCCAAAGTGGTCATCAGCCTGGGCTCCTACAAATCCAGCGTGGAGTGTGTGCCCATCAAGATGGAGCAGGAGATGGAGGACTCTGAAGAACCCAAGATGTCTGAGTCCGTGATGTCTGAGCAGCAGGAGAACCTGGACTATCTGGATGCAGATATCAAAGGCAGCATCAGCAGCGGGGAGAGCATTGAGGTGCTGGGGACAGAGAAGTCGGGCTCTGGGCTGACCAAATCAGAGAGCCAGGCCAGCCTGCCCGCCATGGCCAGCCCCCAGGCCGGCCGCAGCAAGGTGGGCAGCCGGCGCACGGTCAGCGAGGACAGCATCGAGGTGCTCAGCACGTGTCCCTCCGAGGCCCTCATCCCAGAGGACTTCAAAGCCAGCTACCCAAGTGCCATTAACGAGGAGCCCTACGCGGATGATGACGAGGGAGGCCTTCGCTTCACCCCCAGAGCCAACCCGGGCGCGCACGACGGGCAGGACGACATCTCCAAGCAGGAGAGCTTAGTGCAGGTGGATGCTGCCTGCTGCATCGGGAAGGAGAGCCCCAGTTTCCTGGAGCCGCTGGCCGAGCAGCTGCGGCAGAGGCCGTGCGAGGAGGACGGCGTGGTGCGGATCCCGCCGCAGCCCTACCGGGGCCCGGCCGAGCAGGGGCTGCGCGGGGGCTTCCCCTCCCACCAGGCCCTCCCGGCGGGGCTCCTGCCCTACGAGCCCGACTCGCGCCGCCTGACGGGCAGCAGGGAGGTGAGTAAGAGCAGCCTGGACGAGTGCTCGGACTCCACCAGCCTCATCAGCAGCGCCGCCTCCACGTGCTCCGACAGGACCCCGTCCCCGGCGCAGCCGGCGTGCGCGGCGGCCGCGGACAGGCACAGGAAGAGGGCCGGGCAGAACGCGCTGCGCTTCATCCGCCAGTACCCCTTTGCCCACCCCGCCATCTACTCCCTGCTCAGCGGCAGGACCCTGGTGGTGCTGGGAGAGGACGAGGCCATGGTCAAGAGGCTGGTGACGGCGCTCTCCATCTTCGTGCCCAGCTGCGGTGGGTACGCCAAGCCCGTGAAGCACTGGGTCACCTCCGCTCTGCACCTGGTGGATTTCCAGAAGTGGAAGTTGATTGGACTGCAGAGGTAAATGGAAGGGTCTGATTGCTTTAGTAGGGTTGAGGTGTGTGGTAAGAGCTTCAACTCAGAGGGCAATGAGTGTGAAGGGGAGGTTTCTTAATTATCAATGTAGCTGCCACGAATTTCTGCTGGTAGGAAAAGGAGCAGGTTTATCCCTGTATCCAGCCTCACTTGAGAGTTAATCTTTAAAACATCTGCTGGGCACTTGCTGCCTGCCTGCCTCAGGTGAGTTATTTGGCCAGGAGGTTTTTGCCTGGCAAAGCAGAGAACAAACATCTGAGTCCTGCTGGGTTCCTGGATGATCTGCTCTAAGTTCCTGGAGTTCCTTGTGTGCTCTGCTTTGCCATCTCCTGCTGGAACTCTTCTCACATTTCTAGCTGGAATTTTAGGGTAGATGGTGCTGTGCTGGAGGGGAGGAGCCTTCTTTACCTTCTGGAGCCTATTGAACAGGTGATGAGGTTTGTAGGTCAGAATTGGAGTGCAGCACCTCAGGCTGTGCTGGTGAGGAAGAAAGGTCCCTGGAGCTGTGCAGGAGCAGTGTTGGGATTGTAGGAAACCTCTGCTTAGGGTGAGAGCTGTCCCAAAAACAAGTGCCCCTTCCCAACACCCAGTCCTGGACTGTGGCTTCACTTATTAGCTCATACTAGCACAGAATGTTTGCTCAACTCAAGGGCCCTGCCCTTGTTGATGAAAAGGATTTTTTGCTGTGTTCCAGGATGTGTTCTGTGCTTTGGGTGCAGGTATGGCAGGGAATGGCCATTGCTGTCACCAGCGTGGAAAACATGAGTCAGAGTGGCAGACAGTGCTCAGAGCCAGGCTGGAACAGCTCCTGCAGGAGTGTTTGTAAACAGCAGGAAAATTAAAACACAGAAACCTGCTTGCTGAGCTGCAGAGTATTGTATTGCTGGGGAAAATTATCCAAAACTGTGAGTTTGCTCTCATTTCTGTGCTTGTGAGGCAGGATGACAGCTCTGCCAGCAGCTGCTCACAAGCTCTCTGTCTGTCAGGGAGGTTTTTAAAAACCCCAAGTGTTTACTCGTTGCTCAATGTTTGTGGTTAGATGCCATTTTTATAAACAGAAATCTTTATTTAAGAGCTGCCTGTAACATGTGTCAGTCATTTCAGCTCTCCTCCGTGGAATGTTAATTAAGTGCTCAGTTTAATGTGGCTGCTCTCCACAAACCATTTGTAGGAGGGCTCTGGGGAGGAATTCAGAGGCTGAACTATTTATTCCAGTGAGGATCCAGTGTCTCCTATGGCCAGGTGCTGCCTGGGCACTGGGGCAGCCCCTACACCAGTTAGGGCTCCCAGTTAGAGGCTGGGAGCTGTATCTCAGCCCAGCAGCTGTCAGCACAAAGCATGGAGGAGCTGAAGGGTGTGCGTAGGCTGCTCATTTGCATTTCAATACCATTAGGTTAAGCTTGGTGGGTAATTGCATCCTTGTGAGCTGTGGGTTTGCACCTGAGTGACAAATAGGCTCAGCCAGGAAATGTTGTGGGTTAAGAGTGGTTCTGTCTTTTAGGAAATTCAGAAGGTTCTGCTCCACTCAGGGCTTCGACCACCTCAGAACACTCCATTCCAAGGGGATCTGGGGGGAACTCTTGGGAAGGGGGGATGCTTTGGGTTTCTGAGTCACATTGGGAGGCTTTGAGCTGCTGTAAAATGTGTCTGCTCACCAGAGATGTCCTGTGAGTCCCTCTGCATGTCACTGAGAGAGGGAGCTGACCAGAAGTGTGGTGGTTTATGCTGCAGCATGCACAGTACAGATCAGGGCATGTGGAAATCCAGGGAATGGAGGTTTCTTTAGAGCCAGTTTGTCCCCCTTTAGGCTTTATTCACCCCCAGAGCTCTTGCACAGGGCACGGACACCCCGTGCTGCTTCCTTGTGGCTGCCCCGCAGCCCTGACCTGTGTGCTGCCGTTGCAGGGCAGTGTCCCCTGGCGGGGTGAACGTGCTGCACGCCCTGAGCCGCTACAGCCGCTACCTGAGCATCCTGGACGCCGACAGCAAGACCCTGCGGTGCCCCCTGTACAAGGGCAGCGTGGTGGCCAGGCTGGCCGACCACCGCACCCAGATCAAGCGGGGCAGCACCTACTACATGCACGTGCAGAGCATCCTCACCCAGCTGTGCTCCAAAGCCTTCCTCTTCACCTTCTGCCACCATTTGCACCTCCCCATCAGCGAAAGGGAACCGGAGGAATCCGTCGTGAGTCGCAGGATGAACTTCCTAAAGCTTCAGCTGGGCCTTGCCAACGAGGATGTCAAAATCGTGCAGTACTTGGCCGAGCTGCTGAAGCTGCACTACATTCAGGAACCGGGGCGGGGGGGGAACCCCCTGCTCAGATTTGACTATGTGCCCAGCTTTTTGTACAAAATCTAGCCTTGCACAGGCCCTGTGCCCGCGTGCAGGGTCTGACAGAGCTCATCCGTGCTTGGCATTGCTGTCTGCAGCAGCTCTCACACGTGGGGAAGGGGCCCAGGTGTTGGTGTCTGCTCCACAGAAATCTGGGGCTGTGGGAGTGGATTTCTGGATTTCTGGGTGTTCCCTGTAGCCAAAAGCATAGGTGTTCCATCACATAAACCATCAGGCACTCTGTACATGTTAGAAGGGGCACTGTTAAAGTGGATCACGGCAGCATCCCGGGGGTTATGGCATGAGGGGAGGTGATCTCGGGGATCAGTACTGACCAGTGTGCAGCCCCCCACATAGCACAGTGTCCTGCATGCTTCTGCCAGAGCCCTGAGCACTGTCAGGCCCTTCCATGGAGCCAGGGCTGTGACCAGAGGTATAAAGGCCATGTGAAGTTTTGTATCCACCAGTGACTGTCATGGGAGTGAAGCTCAGAGCCCCCTGGCAGGGCAGCAGCTCACAGGCCTGTGCACAGCCACAGTGGGTGCTGTCCCTTCCTGCACTGTGTTTCTGGGCACTTCCCAGGATAGGTCATCCCTGGGTGAGTGGGGGCACAGTGGAGGCACACGTGCTTCTCTCCAGAAAGGCTTTCCCAGCGTGGTTAAAATCAGGAAGGTGGAAGCGGTCCCTAAGGCTGGTGAGCCCCGAGGCGCCGGCCGCTGCGAATGTAGAGCACTGTGCCTTGTTCATTTGTCACAGCCCATCTGCTGGGTGTGCAGGGAGCCTGGGCATCCTCCTCAGGCTGGAGGGAGCCTGGGCATCCTCCTCAGGCCGCAGGGAGCCTGGGCATCCTCCTCAGGCCGCAGGGAGCCTGGGCATCCTCCTCAGGCTGCAGGGAGCCTTGGGATCATCCTCAGGCTGTAGGGGGACTGTGCATCCTTAGGGACACTGGGAATGCTCAGAGCGTGTGAGGTCGGGGGTGGCTTTTTAAAGGTTTAAAGGCAGGAGGGAACTGAAGGAGGGTGAGGGCCCTGTTTTTAGGTGCTTTTTGTGGTGGAGGAATGATGTGATTCAGCTGGAGCCACGCTGTGAGACAGCAGGCTGTTAGCACAGGCTGGTGAGGTGCAAGTGCTCAGGAGAGATCGGGGATGAATGTACTGGATTCTGTGTTTTATCCATAATAGTTTATTTTATTTTACTTAATTTTATTTTGTTGGGGAGTTGGCGTTTGTGCCTTGTGGTGAAACAGAGCTGGCATTGCTGCCTGCTGCTCCTGGCTGAGCCATTGTCATGTCCTGACTACCTCTCCCAGGGCTCCTGGGTGGCTCTGGATGGGGCACAACTGCTGCTCCCTGAGCCTGGGTACTGAGAACTTTTCCTTTCAAAGCTTCTGTGCCATAAAGGAGGTACCACCAACATGGTGGCACTCGCAGGTGGTTCCTGTCAGTGCCCCAAGCTTTGTGCCCAAGCACAGCACTTCCCTCTGGAGTCTCATGGGTGATCCTGGGCTGCTCTGCCCAGTGCCATGGGCAGCAGCAGCTCCCACGGTACTCCCAAGTAAGAAAAGTCTTTCTAGGAAAACTAATCTTGGTTTTAATTCTTTTTAATGCTGATTACGGGGTGAGAGCAGCTGACATCATACAAGAGCTGATCTGTTCTTAAGTTTGTTGGGTTTTTTTTAAACTTCTGTTTATGGTGATAATGTGAGGCAGCTTTGGAGGTGAATGTGATATTCCTTCTGAGCTTGGGAGGTTTCTGTGTACAGCCTGGGGTTCCCCAGCGTGGCTTAGACCCCACTGAGACTTGCTGTGAGACCTGCACTGCTCCAAAGCCCTGTCTGGAGGCAGGGAGGCTCCTGGGGGAGGCTGTCATTTTGCACCAGCATCAGTGCCTCAGGATTGTGCCACCTCCTCCTCTCCCCTGGAAAGGCTCTCTGGGGTACAAACCAACAGGGCAGAAAGGTGTTTTTAAGGTTGTTGCTGTTTGTGGTGGCTCAGTCAAGTTGGCCTCATGGTTCTGTCCAGAGGGATCTCCAGGGTCAGGGGTTGTTGTGATGGTGTTTTGAGGTTGTGGCTGGAAGCAGGGTGGTGTGGCCTTTGCTGAAGGTGAGCTTCTCACCTTTACAGTGTGTTCAAAGCCTTTTCCTGTCCTGCCTGTGCCCTCCTGTCTCATGTGAGCTGAGTCTGCTGGTGAAAGGCTCTGTGTCCATCCAATTTTCTGCTTCCTGAGGTGCCTCAAGGTGCCCCGGATTGATTCATGCACACCCAAACTTCCACACTAAGGCTGAGGTGACATTCCCTGGGGGAGGAGGGAGATGAGTAATGCAGGTGACACCAGGCAGATGAAAGCTCCCAGCAGCCTGCTCTGGAGCAGGGCTCAAACCAGGAGCTTGTTTCCTGCTGGGAAACCACCCAGTGCTGTTTGGGTTTGAGGTGGGAGGGAGGGAAGGACAGACAGACAGACTTTTTTCCTGCTGACTCACTCACACGTCTTCCTCCAGCACGGAGTGGGAGCGATGATTCGTGGTGGCTCATTTTAGTCACAGTGGTTTCGACCTGTGGTGTTCAGCTGTGCTCATAAATTGAGAAATAACTCACTTCTTACTCCCTCTGTCCAACCTGTAGTATCTGATACTCAAGGCTGTGTTGAGCAATACTTGCACTGCCACCTGTCTGACCTGCTTCACCTCTCTGCCACCAAGCAGCTCTGACTGGGGAGGATGCCCCAGGGGCTGGAACATCTCTGATTCCCAACAGGAGCTCTGGCATTATCTGCAACTGGGAGCTGTGGAGAAACACGCCCTGGAGTGCTTGTGCTCCTCTCAGCAGTGTAACCTCTGAACTTGGACTGGAAAAGGGGAGTGGACACCAGATTGTGGCACCTCTGGGCGTTTGGAGCCCTCTCTGCTTGTGGTGGCAGAAACTGGAGGGATTCTGAGGGCAGCTGGTGTCTGGGAGCTGAGTTCCTCTTTCCTCTGTAATTTCTCTGTCTCTGTTCTGCTGTACAGTGCAGATCCTGTATTGGCACTTTAGGACTTCCCCCATCTCTGGTGTGGCACCTCACCAGTTTCTGATATTCACAGACTAACAACAAACCACAGCCTTTGCACTGACAGCTCCTGCCATGACGTGTGTGTTATGTCTTGCCTGAGCCATCCTTCCCCGAGGAGCAGGGGGGTCCTGGCAGTGGCAGTGCCACCCTCACCAGCCGTTCAGCTGCCAGAGCCAGCGGTGCCCTGCATGGCCGTGTCCCCTGCTTCTGTGAGTGCTGCCACCCAGCATGTCCCCACTCCCTCCTGCACGGCCCCGCTGGCTCCCCCGGCTGCCAGGGAGGGGAGGTGTTCACTGATCAGAATTCATCAGAGCTGAAGCCTCTCCTGGCCAGGAGGGAGGGCTCCCGTTCCCCACTCCTGCTCTCCCCAGCTGCCAGCCCCTGCTCTGCTCCCCACTAACCCCCCTGCTTCCAGCTCCCAGCCCGGGAGGCTCAGCCATAGCTGTAGGTGATCTTAACCCTACAAAGGTTTCATTTCTCAGAGAACAGTGCTCAGATTTCCTCTCATCTGATAGCAATCACTTCTGAGCAGCTCCACAGAGCTGCCTATACTCTAGCAATATTCACCGTGGTGGGAGGGTGGGAGAGGTACTCCAGGGTGGGAGCTGATGGCTCTGTGCCCCCAGGCCAGTTCTTTGGGTTTTATTGAGTGTGAGGGTCCTGAGCCCCTGGTCTGGTGGTGGGGGCCAGCCCACCCTGCAGATTGCAGGAGTTGGGCAGGACCCAGGGCTTGCAGCAGCACAGTGAGGAGGCTCCTGTAACAGGGTCTGAGGGAATTCAGGGAGCTGCCCAGGCTGCAGGAGAACCCCTGCCCCAGAGCACAATGTCAGAGCACCCAACTGCACCCCAGCATTGGAGGGGTCACAAACGCCCAGCCCCTGCTCCCTGGGACGGATTTCACTGGAAGGCAGCAGCAGGGTACCCGGTCCTGCCGGCAGCACGGCTGCTGCCACGGGGATGGGGCTGGGCTTGCAGCTGCCTCTCAAGGCTGCCAGGAGGCTGTGATGAATTCTCATCTTATTTTCAAAGCACTGTATCCTATTCCTGCATGTTGAGTTCCGTGTGTGTGCCTGTGCGTGCCGAATGCTTGCGTCAGTAGTTAGGGCGAGTGTGACCGGGAGAAACCCAAGCATGTCTTAGTGTCGTGCTGTAAGTGTCACTGCACAAGAGTTTAACTGATGTTAACACCAAATGACTAGTCTGAGAAATGTACTTTTAAAAAAAAATATTTATTTGGGTTCAGATATTTTTGAAATACAAAAAAAAAAAAAAAAAAAAAAAATTGGTCGTATTTTTTAAAGCTTATAATTCTTGTCATTTGTTGTGGTTCAATTCTTAATTTTACCGTGCTTATTAAAAAATGGTTCAACCTAAGCTTTGTGCCAAGGGCTCTGAGAAAATATTGGAGGACCTGGTTAGGATGGGATGGTGATCCCAGGAGGGATGTTCAGGACAAGGCTTGGCCCTGTCGTAGCCTGTGAGGTGGCAAGGCACACAGGATGAAGGGGAATCCTCGAGGCTGAAACCAGGGGGACTTTAGTGGCTGTGAGGTTCCTGTGCAGCTGGAGCCCCTGTCCCTCACACTGCCATGGGCAGGGTGTTCAGGGAATGTGGACAGACCAGCCTACATCTCATCTGCTGCTCCACAGCCAGCAGGAGCTGGATGGCACCATGGGGTGAGTGAGGGTGACCTGGTGCTCGGTGACACTGTGGTGCAGGGCTGGTGTCCCCACAGGGGTTGTACTCATGGGGTCCCTGTGCCCCACATGGGAGGGGAAAGGGGAGTAAGAGACAAAGGAGGAGCTGCTGCTGCAGCTCCACAGGGAAGGGCTGGGAGAAGGCACTGGGGTGTTGGTGTCAGGCTGGGGATTGGGGGTGTGCCATGATCCTGGGTATTCCTGTGGCTCCAGGAGTGGGCATGGCTGTGTCCCCTTACAGGACAGGCAGCCCTGGCAGCGGGAACGTGGCTGCAAAGGCTTCCACCTCTTCCTTCAGTGCCTTCAGCTCCCCACGGTATTTTGGGTCCTCCAATTTGTCCTTAAATTCCTTCAGCGTGGCCTTGGGGCTCATGTCCTTCTGCACACGCAGAGCCAGCTCGATCCCTGCCAGGATGGAGATGTTTTAGTCAGCCCTCACAGCTGCTGCAGCCCAGGGCTCTCCCAGCCCTGCTGCCCCCTGGGACGGAGCCCTGCTGCCCCCTGGGACGGAGCCCTGCTGCCCCCCGGGACACGGCCCTGCTGCCCCCCGGGACATGGCCCTGCTGCCCCCCGGGACATGGCCCTGCTGCCCCCTGGGACACGGCCCTGCTCCCTCCCTCCTTCCCATCTCAGGGACTTGCTGCCCAGGGACACAACTTGGAACTCCTGAGGATAACGGGGAGAGAACTGCCAGAGGGACAGGCTTTCAGCCCACTGCCTACAGCGGGGAGAGTTTGGCTGGTCCCAGCTGTGGCCAGATGCCCTCCCTCACATCCAGATGTGGAGGTAGGATGGTTATTCCTCATTGCTGGGTGTTCTCCCTTGCCAGCTGGTGCCTCCTCATGCAGGGGAGCTGCCCTGATCCAGGCTGGAGCTGGAGCTGAGGCTCCCCACCCCCAGCTCACCTTTGTGGATGTACTGGGCCACCTTGCGGAAATCGTCCTGCCGGAAGCCGCGCGAGGTCAGCGCCGGGGTCCCGAATCGGAGCCCGCTGGGCCGCAGGGCACTGACATCACCTGCAGCACAACGAGGCACCCGTGACCCAACCTGGCACTGAAACCACCTGTGGGCATCCAGCCTGGCTCCTGGGGCTGAGCAGGGGCTGGCAGAGCTTGTGGGATCCCTCACCAGGGCACGTGTTCTTGTTGCAGGCAATAGAGCAGAGCTCCAGCACCCGCTCGGCCCGGCCGCCATCTGTGCCTTTGCTGCGCAGGTCCACCAGGATCAGGTGGTTGTCAGAGCCCCCTGCAAAGAGAGGGCTTTGGTGGGACTGGGGAAGTGCTTCAGCAAAAGAAGACTTGAGATCTAACAGGGAGTGAGGAATTGTGCCAACAGAGCCCTGCCATGGTGTCCTTGAAGAGCTGCCCAGGGTCAGCCCCATCCCACTGCCAAGACGTGTCCTCACCTGTGACGATGTCGTAGCCCATCTCCATCAGTGCTGATGAGAGTGCCTTGCAGTTGGCCACCACCTGCTGCTGGTAAGCCTTGAACTCGGGTGTCATGGCCTGATGCAGTGCCACAGCAATCCCTGTGGATAGAGGCAGGCCAGGGTCAGATTTGGGGGGCTCCCATCAGCAATGGCACTGCCAGCAGAAGCCATATGGAAGCTGAATGAATGAATGGACTGATCCTTCCTTTGCCCTAACATGGCATGAGCCATGAGCCAAAACACAGGACAGGATGGGCTTGGTCACTCCTTGGGCAATGCTGGATCGCCAGCTGCCTTTTGCCACAGTGTCCCCAGTCTGTGAGCTCTGTAGGGCAGCTGGAGCCTCCTGTGCTGCTGCTGGGGGTCAGAGCCCTGCCAGGAGCCCTTTGCCAGCTCCCTCTGCCATGCTGGAGCTGGCAGCCAGCCTGGCTGCATACCTGCAATGGCGTGGTTGTGTGGGCCTCCCTGCAGCCCTGGGAACACTGCCTGGTTGATGAGGCTCTCCAGGTTGTAGAGGGTCTCCTTGCCTGTCTTGGGGTCCACGCTGCGGGTGCCTGTGAGACAGGGAGGACATGGTGACAAGGCAGCGCAGCCACCCTTTTCCCACGAGCTGCTTTCACCCCCTGGCTGCTCACAGCAGGCACAGCGGTTGTTCCTCTTCAAATCTGAGCCAGGGTTAGCCCAGGGAAGCTCCCCAGGCACTCCTGGGATCTTTCTGCCCTCCCTCCTTCCCAGTTAGAGCAGGAAGGAGCGTTTCTCCCGGCACCCCGGGCACCTTTGCGGTAGAAGATCATTCCGGCCCTGCAGCCCCGCAGCGTCTTGTGGGTGGTGGTGGAGACGATGTCGCAGTGCTCGAAGGGCGAGGGCACCACGCCGGCAGCCACCAGCCCGCTGATGTGCGCCATGTCTGCCATCAGGAACGCCCCGTTGTCATCCGCGATCTTCCGCATGCGGGCGTAGTCCAGGTTCCGCGAGTAGCAGCTGACACCTGCGGGGACAGCGGTGAGCGGGGGACAGGAGGGGACGGGAGCAGATGTGCAGGACCCTGGCTCAGCCCCAGGAGCAGGCCTGCAGTGCAGCCAGCCCAGCAGGCTGTACACAAGCACAGTACACAAGCTCCTTGCGGGGTGGTTGTGTTGGAGGTTTCCTCCTGGTACTGCAGCATCCATGGGCTTCAGGGAGCCACCCCAGCCGTGCCACCAGGGAGGTTGGTACAGGTGTGACCCTTACCTGCTATGATCAGCTTGGGGTGGAAGAGCCGGGCGTTCTCCTCCAGCTTGTCATAGTCGATGTAACCGGTCTTGGGGTTGACCTGGGAGAGGAAGAGGAGGCTTCAGCCACCTCACTGTGGTGAAGATCAGCTGCAGTGCTGTCCTGCAGGAGGGAGGCCTGGCACTTTTCACTTTGAGGCACCAATACTTATGATAGGTGCATCCTGGCTCTGGCTGGAGCAGCTCCCTACCTTGTAGGGCATGGACTCAAAGAAGACAGAGGTGGCAGAGATCTTCTTCTTGTCTGTCATGAAGCCGTGGGTGAGGTGGCCACCATCAGGCAGGTCCAGCCCCATGATCCTGCCGTGGGGCTCCACCAGGGCCGTGTACACTGCAAAGTTTGCAGGTGACCCTGCAGAGAGAGCACAGCGGGTTGGGTATGAATGCTGGGGCACACAGGGGCCTGCCCTGGCTTTCCTGAGCACCCCAATACCTGAGTAGGGCTGGACATTGACTCCCCACTTCTGGGGGTCGAGCCGGTAAGCCTGCAGGGCTCGCTTCTGGCACAGCCTCTCCAGCTCATCCACAAACTCTGTCCCGCCATAGTACCTGCAGTGCAGGACAAGGATAAAACCAAACTCAGGACTCAGAACAGGCCCTGTCACCAGGCTGGGGACACACTGGGGTGGTGCCCCTTTTGTGCAGCCACAGCAGATGTGACCCTGCTGGGACTGTCCCATGTGTGGCCAAGGACAGAGGCTGAGAAGGTCAGAGCCTGTCCTGGAAGAGCCTGGCTGCCAGCACAAGGACCCTGCTTCCCTCTCTGGTTCCTCTCCTACCCTGCCAGGGTTTGGGTTGGTGGGCCTTAGCCCCAGCCCCATACCTCTGTCCTGGGTAACCCTCAGAGTATTTGTTGTTCATGCAGGATCCCAGGGCCTCCAGGACTGCTCGGCTTGCAAAGTTCTCCGATGCAATTAACTCCAGCCCCAACCTCTGCCGCTGCTTCTCCTTCTTGATGATGCTGTGCACCTTTGGGAAAGGAGAGAAATGGCCTCAGCCATCTCTGCATGGAGATGTGGATGTTCCACCACAGGAACAGGGGCTTGGAAAGGTGCTGGAGAACAGAGATGTGATCCCTTCTTGGTGCAGCTGATCCCTACCAGCCACAGAGGGCACAGAGGATGGATGGGCTCCAGCAGCTCAGCCTTGGACCCTGCCATGTCCTTGGCTTGACCAGGTCAGCATCCCCATGGCTGGCTGGGGGACAATGAGGCAGCTGGGCAGGAGCCAGGAAGGGGCTCTCACCTCGGGGTCGTTGGTGTCCAGCGGCTCCATCACCATCTTGTTATGGGAGGCCCAGAGCTCGGCGCTGGGCAGGCCCTGTGCTGAGCTCGCCATGGTGCTGCTGCTGGCTCTGAGTCACCTGCCAGGGGAGCAGGGAGCCTGTGGGATGGCAGCAGGGCTGGGTGCCTCCACATCTCCCTGAGTGCTGCCTGCTGCCATCCCGTGTATTCCCTGAGAACAGCCACAGGCTGATGGGTGAGGAAAACACACACAACCCTCAGGCTTCCCCTGCTGATTTAAGATCAGGTTGCTAATTCCTGTGCTTTGATAATGTCTGATGCTCTCCCATCACCACCCCTCCCTGAGCTCCCCCTGCCCAGCTCGGCAGTGCCTGATGTTTAATTTCAAGGGCAGTGAAGTGCTTGTACCCACAGATCTCAGTTTAACATGCTGTGATGCCCAGCACGCTTGAACCTCTTGGCTGCTTTCCCTTGGGCAAAACCCCAGCAGGTCAGAGTCCTGCCCCAAACCCTGACTGAAGCATCCTGTGGAGCTGAGAGGCCCTGAGAGGCAGCAGCTCTGCCTCTGCTGGGCTCCGTGGCATGGGTGATGCCCAGGCCTGGCAGGAGCCCTCTGGCCCGGTTGATGCTGCTTTTGGGGAAGGAATAACAGCCTAGCTGCTGCCTTGGCATAAAACAATCCATCTTTTTACTCATTAACCCCCAAGGACGGGTGAAGGTCCGTGAGCAGGTTATTAAGCAATCCCACGTGGTTTCCTTGTGCCAAGCTGCCAAAGTCCATTCACGCCGCCCTTGCTGGGCAGGGATGCTCAGCCATGCTCTGGCCCGAGCCCAGGCTCACTGGCAGGGTGGGAATCCTCACGGCCGGAGAGGCTGGGCTGAGCAAAGGCTGCGAGGGGCAGTGCTGTGGCTCTGAGCAGGACGCAGGTCCTGCATGGTCCCCAGCCCAGGGTGCTGCAGCACTCACTGCACAGAGGGACAGAGCTGCCATTCCCAGGCAGGATGAGACCTCCCGCACACCTGGTACCTCACCTGGGGAGCCCCATCCCCGAAGCTCTGTCTCTACCTAGATCTGCACCCCCTGTAGCCGGACTCCATCACCTCCCACATCCCGAGAGCCTGGTGGCGCGCCCCTCTGCCCTGCCCCGCGTGGCGGGGACCGGCGCTGTGCCCCTCAGCGGGATGCCGTGCCCCGGCCCTGCTCTGCCCACCCGCACACCCAGATTGGGTCCCGGTCCCGGTCCTTACCCGCTCCCGATTCCGCTACCGCGCCAAAGCCCGCGCGCTACCATAGCCCGGCCGGGCCCCGCCCCCTCCGCGCCGCGGCCAATCAGCGCCGCGCTCTGCCCCCTCCCCGCCTCCCATTGGCCAGCGCAGGGGCGGGGCCGGCGGCGCAGCCCGCACGTGGCGCCCGGGGCGCGGGTGACCTTGGGCCGGGAGGGGCGGGGGGCCCGCGGCTGTCACCCCTGTGTCGTCACCCTTCCTCTGCTGTCACCCCTCTTGTGCTGTCACCCCTCTGCTGTCACTCCTGTCACCCGCAGCTCCGGCCCTGCCTGCCGTGCACCCCCCGGTGCTTCTCCGCCAACCCTGCGGTGTTCCCGGTGTCCCGCCACTTCCCCCACGAGCCGAAGGATGGGACACCCCAACACCGTGCAGCGGGCAGGGACATTTCCAGGCACCCCCCTGCCAAGGCCGTGTCTCCAGGCCCTGGCACAGGCTGGGCACGTTGCTGCTGTTGTGGGGAGTGGAGCTGGCCCTGTACCCCTCACGGGTACCCAGAGGGATTTCGGGGTGCTCAGGAAGGGGAGCAGCCAGGGGGTGAATGGTTCAGGCAGGAGAGCGGCGCTGTTTTGTGTTTTCTTCATTCATCACATCCGAGTTAGTGGGTGGGCTTGGCCAACCAGCCCCGAGGAACCTGCACCCCCTGGGGCTTCAGGGGTTAAATCAACACACCATAAATTGAGGAAGAAAATTAGGGAATAAGTGATCCTACTAAATTCCGCGTGATCCCAAGCCATGGGAAAATGGGGCGAGGCAGTGTGAGTCACCCCGGAGAGGAGCAGCACAAGGGGAGCCAGGCAGGAGGGTGAGACTACCCTCAGTGGGCAGAGCAGCCAAGAACAGCACAGTGAGTCTTGCCAGGTCTGCCAAGGCAAGTGCCAGGATGAACAGGAGAGAGAGGAGGAGGAGGGTGGGCTCACCAGAGGGTGGTGGGTGGGTAAAGGGTCTGTGGTTACGCTTGGATATAGCTCAGGTGTTGTTCTGCATCTCCCTGGAAGAATAAGTCTGTTAATATCATTGTTGCCAGTCTAGGTAGTTTTTGGTGTCATAATTTGTTACTGGTCATCCAAAGAGGATTGGTCACAATGGGGGGATCTGGGTTTCAATGGTTTTGCTGCTGGTCCATGCTGAATTGCTGCTGTGGGCTGGTGATGAGGGTGTTGTTCTGACAGGTTGACATCAACAGCAAAATTGGGGTTGGTTTCTGTGAAGCTGCATGTGCTGTAGAGAAGGACTTTATATTAATTATACACTAATTAATCTAATCTAGCTTTTCATACACATTTTGTGTACAGTTGCTCACAAAGATTTTCACCTCTCTTGAGCAGCAGATAACAGTTTTGTTGTGATTCCAGGTCTTGGCTTGCTAGTGATGGACAGCACCTTTTCTTCCCCTTTTCCCTTCTCTGCCAGCTGCCCCACGGAGCAGCCTGACACTGCCACTGACCATGACTACTACTCTGGGCTGCAGAGGGCCATGCACATCCTCTCCATGGTGGTGTACAGCATCGCCTGTTTGCTGGGGGTGTCAGGCAACGGCCTCGTCATTTGGATTGCAGGCTTCAAGATGAAGAAGACGGTGAATTCCATCTGGTTCCTCAACCTGGCCATAGCTGACTTCATCTTTACCTTCTTCCTGCCCCTCAGCATCGCCTACACCGCCCTGGGCTTCCACTGGCCCTTTGGGAAGCTGCTGTGCAAGCTGAACAGCACCATGGCCTTCCTCAACATGTTTGCCAGCGTCTTCCTCCTGACGGTGATCAGCATGGACCGCTGCGTTTCTGTGGCGTTCCCCGTCTGGTCTCACAACCGCAGGAGCCCGGAGCTGGCGGCCAGGATTGCGCTGGGGACGTGGGGCCTGGCTGTGCTGCTCAGCTCCCCGTACCTCGTCTTTCGGGACACCCTGGTCAGCTCCAGGAACGTCACCAGCTGTTACAATAATTTTGCTCTGTCTGATGATTACACGTCGGAGGCGACGCGCAGGCTGTGGAGGATGCGGCACAAGGCGATGATCGTCACGCGGTTCTTATGTGGGTTCCTCATCCCCTTCATGGTGATTCTCATCTGCTACAGCGTCGTGGCTGTCAAGCTGAAAAGAAGGCAGCTGGCCAACTCTGCAAAGCCCTACAGAATCATCATTGCTGTCACAGTCTCGTTTTTCCTCTGTTATTTCCCATATCACGTCTTCTCCTTGCTGGAAATATCCAACAGCTCTTCCAGCCATGAGATGAAACTGGCCCTTTACATAGGGATCCCCTTGGTTTCCAGCCTTGCTTTCTTCAACAGCTGCATCAACCCCATCCTGTACGTCTTCGTGGGGCCGGATTTCAAGGAGAAGTTCCGCCAGTCCATCCTGTCCGCCTTCGAGGGGGCCCTCAGCGAGGAGTCGGTCCTGGGCAGCCTGACCGGCCGGCGCAAGTCCAGGTCTGCTTCGGAAGTGGAGGTGCCGAGGGTCTGAGCAGGAGCTGCTGTGGAAGGGGCCGTTCTTTTCTCTGCATTTTCCCTCATTTCAGAGCTCAAATCGTGGGACTGGGGACTGCAAGGGGCTGCGCATACTAGTGTGGTGGGATTTTGTGTTTTGGAGATGTCTCAAATATGCTGTGATTGAACACACAATGGGGATGGAAGAGCTCTCTGGAGCTGCAGCAAGGTGGGTCAAAGTAGCAGTATGTTTCTCCATGTGCCTTTTGACTCTTGTGTATGGAGCCTTTATAGAAATAGGGTTAAACACAATGGCTGTATGTATTTTTGTAGAGAATGGAATAGTGACTAAGACACTCTTTTCTCTCCTCAGACAGGACAAATCAGTGGTTGTGCTGCTGTTACTCAGATTTGATGTATTTCTGAGCAATGCTAATCTCTGTTTGTGTTTGACATGCTCCCAGCCCTTAAATAGCAGAGATCTGATATTTTGTGCTGTTGGTGAATGAATATTGTCCCCCAATAAACTTGTGTAAAACATACCCACCCTGTTGTGTTGCCTGTGGGATAAACACTTGATCCAACCTGACTGAGCAGGTTCATCTTTGGTAAAAGAACAAGCAGATAAAAAGATCAAATATCTAGAATTTGGAAACAAACCACTGGTATTAGCAGCAGCCCTATGAGTGAGGCAGACAGGACATGACCTGGGTGTGAGGATTTGCCTGGGGCACATGGATCTGATTGCCAGAAAATGGTTATGGTTTATTTGGGTTTCAGACCTTTGGGTACATTTGAAAACCAGTGACTGGGAGAAAAACAAGTGGCTGAGCTGAATCTGGCCAAGCTTCATGTTTGCAAACTGTCCAGGGTGAAGAAGGTGGGGACTTTCTTACAGGCTTCATAAGCCTCTGGACCTCTTAGATTTTTATGAGTAGAAAATGTTGGTCACGTAACAGGAATGCCAGCACTGAGGTGTTGTCATTCCTAGCCCATCCTCAGTGAGCAGTGACTGTATCACACCTCCCTCTCCTGCCCTACCCAATTTACCTGTAGATTAGTCCAACCTACCAATTGTCCTGTTCATCCTGTCAGAAACCTGCCTTGGAGCCTCCCTGCTCCGGTGGCTGGAAAATCTCTGACTCCCAGGGATTGTAGGAATTCACACGTACCTCACCATTCTGCATGGATGATGTTATGAATGAGAGCTGTCAGCTGAACATGTTGGGGATTAATTATGGGTCTGCTGGGCCATGCAGTATTGAATGAAGGTCACGATCCTGAAGGCACACAGGCACATTCATGCAAAACCCGCTGAGAACGGGGAATGTAACATGACCATCATACGTCAAACTTGAGTGAGCAGAGAGATTTAACCTTTGTCACAAATTGCTGCCTGTCATGCAGATAAAACCGCAATGTTTGCCATGCAGCACGTAACTCTGGGGCTATTTACTTGCTCCTGATGGTAAACTACAGCATCGATTGCCATGTCAAGGTTTTGCAGACCCAGGTTTGCTCTCTCTGGTTTTCTTTATCTGTTTGCAGAGTCCACATAATTCCTTGTGACAAGAGTCTCCGTGAGGGTTGGACCAAGGCCTCGGACTCCTGGCTTGCCTCTCTCCTCTACCCTGGCAGCCTTGAAGGTCAGGATTTGAAATGTTGACCTGGTTTGTGGTAGGAAGGAAAGCAGAAAGTTTTCTGGGTCATTTGGAGATCCAAGGTGGGTACAGAGTCCCATGGGACAACATGGTTTAAGTGAAGCAGTGTCTGGGTGATCTAAGGAATTACCATGGAAAAGCCATAGGTAACGGAGCAGGATGAGCTTGGGATAGAGATGGATTTATCACCCTGGGTCCGATCCCTGCCCTTGTGCAATGGGAAACCATGCTGACAGCAAGGCAGGCCAGGCTGCCAAGGGACTGCTTCCATGATAAATCTCCCATTGTATCGAGTTCCTTCATGTTCAGACTACCTCATTATCACAGGGATAATTGTCAGTCCCTCATTCCCAACTAGGAGGCAGCTCATTCTCTCTGATATTTCCATTTGCCATATGCTTATCTAGAAAAGCTTGAATGAAAAAAATGGGGAAACACTTTCCAACAGCAATCAGAGGAGGCTGAACGGCTGCTTTGGCAGCTGTGCCCCCTCTGACGCAGCTCTGCTGTCAAGGCTCTTTCAGATGCCATGGGAGGGGGGGAACAGCCTGAACCCCCCAGTGTTTGCAGTCATTGAGAAAGGTGCTGAACCCGCGGCCTCATTGGTCCTGCAGAGGGGCAGATCCGACAGCCCCGCCCTACAAACACTGGCTGGGATGGGCAGAGCTACCGCGGTGTTCGGGGGGCAGGCATTGAGGTGTTTGTGATCCCAGGCTGCGCATGGGGAGCCTTAGCTGAGAGAACAAGCAAGTTTTTAGTGAGCATTTAAGTCAGGGGTCTCACCACGAGCAGCTGTTGCTGCCTTGCCTTGGAGGAGAGACTATTGCAGGTGGCTCTGGAGCCAGGAGAAGCTGCAGAGATGGCAGGGAGGAAACCAGCCAAGGAGGATGTGGCAAGCAGTAACAAAAGAGGAGAAAGTATTTTCTCCCTGGGACCTGGATGAGATCAGGGAGATAAAAAACGGGCTCAGAATAGTTATGAGGAAAAAGGAAGGAGTGGGAGCTGACAGCCTTGAGTACTATCAGCAGGATAGTGAATGCAAATGAATGGGAGGGACACTGCAGCAGGTGAGGAAATTCTCATTAAGAAGAGCTTAATGAGACAATAAAAGCCTCTGGGGAGCCACACAGTTCCCACGCCTCTCCTCTGGTGAGACTTTCCTGGTGAGTAAAACTTTTAAGTGTCCCAATCTTGACCCTGGGGGATTGACTTGTTTGATAAGGTCAAAGGTAGTGCACAGAGATCTGAGAGCAGAACCTCTTCCAGAGCTTGCTGAAATCAGGCAGGAAATAGTACAGTGAATTAGAGGAGAGGTTCTGGCAGAAAGCTTCTGTGTGAAGGAGATGTTGGTAATAGAGTCAGTAAGTAGGGTAGGCTGAAGAGTCCTGAGTAAGGCTCTGCATTTTTTTTGGTGTAGCAGCAGGGTGAGGGTCCCACTCCCAGTACAAGCATTAATCTGCTCTTGTTGGTCCTGGTCAGAACCTAACTGGGGAGGACACAGAATACACTTTGCTGCTTCCCTACACCTCTTCCAGCTCCTTTTTAGTGTATGGGCCAAGGCTGGTACCAAACCCTTCTATGTACCTCACAGTTGTGCATGCAAAGCATAGGATCTGCTCTCATACACTGAATTCTGCTTTAATCTGCAAAGTTGTGCTGCAGTGACCAAGTGAAGCCCTTGCTGTGCTCGCTGAATGCCTGCACAGGGCACAGTGCCTGTGTGCTCTCTGGACAGGAGCTGCAGCTTAGTGAGGCAAATGGCAAACCATGCTGGGACCCAGTCGGTAGGACAAAGGAACAGAGCGCTAATTAGTGTTTGTCATGGACTGTGTAGCTGCTCAAATTCCCTAAAATGACATGATTTCACCGGGCAGTGCAACCAATTTTGCCTAAAGGCCAATCAAAGGGCAAGCCACACCCATAAACACCAGGTGATCGGCTTGAACAGGATCTTACACAGACTTTGCAGGACAGAGCTGCCCACACACAGCAAAGCAGAGGGAATGTGAGAACCAAACAAGAGGAACCACCACCATTGTGGTGCAGTGTTTGTCCAAACCCTCACCCTGATATCCAGCTCGAGCTGTCTGTCTGTGCAGGAGCTGTCACACTCCAGGTGTTCCCACAACCTCTCCTCCCCTTGTTGGAGATAACCCCGTGTCTGTGCTGGGCTGCTGTGGCAGACCTGTTAAACATTACAGACTGATCTGGAACTGGGAGCACAGTCAGAAACAGGAAAAAAAACCCTGAAGGGATCCTTCAGTCAGAGCTTTGTGACTCGGGGGGAACAGGACTGTGACAAATGAGGCTGTGCCTGTTTCCCACAAACAGCCAAGCAGTAATATTTGATAAAGCAATGAGTGCTGCCTACTGCCACAGCCCCTGACACAGAGAAGATGTGTTCCCTGCTCCAGGACCTTTATTAAAGCACTTTGCTTGCCAGACATGGGGAATGCTATTTCCAGATCACTCTCAAGATATGATAAAATTACACCTCCTTCCATCAATTCCAAAATGCATTTATAGTTGGTTTGAGTTCTGCCTCCCTAGCTGGGTCGTATCCAAGGCAGAATCTTCTGGAAATTGGACACAGTTGTCCCCCAGGCAATAAAGCTGAGGCAGGGGAGCAGGGAGGTGATGGCTTTTGGTCTGTGCTCAGTGTGGAGGTGTCTGTGTGCTGCAGAGCCTCCCTGCAGGCTCACAGGGGCTGTGTAGGGTAGAGGATGTTTTTGGGATGCCTTTATTAGTTGGGAGAGACCAAACCTATCCACAGGGCTCTGTCAGGATGATATCAGAGTGTTTCTCTGGTGCACTGTGTCTGATAGTTCTCGCTGCCAGCTGGTTGGATAGGTGAGCTTTAATATCCTACTTTTTTTTTTTTTTTTAACAGAAACAACTCCAAACAAACAAAAGCCAGCCTGGTTGAGCAGTGATGGATGGAGCTCAGGAGCTGGGGTGACAGCAGCATTTATCTTCTCTCAGGTGATGGATGCAGGCTGTCAGTCAGCCCAGAGCAGGATGAGCAGTGCCCTTCACCTTGGCTGGACCAGGTGTGGTGTGGGGGAGTTTTTTTTGCACATCTCTGCTTGCCAGGGTCACATCTGGATCAAGAACAACAAAACTCTGTGAGCCAGTGTGCTCACACCCAGCAAATTTTCAGAATTCCTTGGATGACTGCTAATTGAATCATTGCAAATGAAACAAAATCCATGTGCTCATCTTGGAGCAAGTGTTTGTTGAACTCTTAGTGTTTGAATAGAGTATTGTCAAATTAACAAATCCCTCTCCCTTGGGAGCTGAGATTTAAATTGGTGCTCCTCTGATCAGGAAGACAGAGGTGGCAAAGAAATTATCTTTTTTTCTCCAAGAAAACAAAGGCAGTAGCCTTATAAAAAAAGGATCAGAAGACAGGATCACTGAGTTCCTGATCCTGTGGTTTGCTTAAGCAATGTCAGGAATTTGGGGCAGCACAAATCAAACAGTCAGCAAATTCTGAGTGCCCTGGGGTACTGAAAAATGCTTCTGGGGAAGGCTGCTAATTGCATGATGGTTCAGTGCTTTACCATGTGTTGTTTCTGGTTGTTCTGCATTAAACTGCTGTGCCACACCAGCCTGTAGCGGGATCCTGCCAGGGAGAATGATGCTGAGAGAAATCTCTGCTGCTCTGTGAAGAGGCCAACAAAAAGCTCACCCCCCTTCCTTTTTGTCCTGAAAACCCTGAAACAAAAAAAGAACCTGCTTGGGTCAGTGATCCTGAATCGACTGTGTGGAGGCACCAGCCTGGA